GAAATACGATAAGGTCCGCACGGACAAATCTAAAGGGCTCCACAAATATTTAAATAGTTCAGTTCTAGTTCAGTTCCAGTTCAGTTCCAGTTCATTTCTAGTTCTATTCTAGTTCAGTTCTAGTTCAGTTTTAGTTCAGTTCTACTTTAGTTCCACTTCAGTTCTAGTTCAGTTCTAGTTCAGTTCTAGTTCAGTTTAGTTCTAGTTCAGTTTAGTTCAGTTTAGTTCAGTTCTAGTTCAGTTCTAGTTCAGTTCTAGTTCAGTTCTAGTTCAGTTCTAGTTCAGTTCTAGTTCAGTTCTAGTTCAGTTCTAGTTCAGTTCTAGTTCAGTTCTAGTAGTTCTAGTTCAGTTCTAGTTCAGTTCTAGTTTAGTTCAGTTCTAGTTCAGTTCTAGTTCAGTTCTAGTTCAGTTCTAGTTCAGTTCTAGTTCAGTTCTAGTTCAGTTCTAGTTCAGTTCTAGTTCAGTTCTAGTTCAGTTCTAGTTCAGTTCTAGTTCAGTTCTAGTTCAGTTCTAGTTCAGTTCTAGTTCAGTTCTAGTTCAGTTCTAGTTCAGTTCTAGTTCAGTTCTAGTTCAGTTCTAGTTCAGTTCTAGTTCAGTTCTAGTTCAGTTCTAGTTTAGTTCTAGTTCATTTCTAGTTCAGTTCTAGTTCAGTTCTAGTTTAGTTCTAGTTCAGTTCTAGTTCAGTTTTAGTTCAGTTCTAGTTCAGTTCTAGTTCAGTTCGAGTTCAGTTCTAGTTCAGTTCTAGTTCTAGTTTAGTTCTAGTTTAGTTCTAGTGCAATATCGGTCATCGTGTTTGCAATATCCCCCGAAATACAATTCAAAGTCATAAATATGTTAATTAGCTCGTGTAGTTAAATTCTCTGAGTCTTTAATGTGCAGAGCCAAAGCTAATGATGAGATAAGGTGGTATAAAATTCCGAAAACTAGCGTAAAAATTGAGTAAAATTTTTATAAAAATACACTTCTGTATGATGGATGAAACTTATGTACTGGTTGACTTTTCACAATTGCCGGGCTAATATTATTATGTGGTTGATGGATGAGATAATGTTCAAGAACAATACCGAAAAAAATAAACGGTTGTGACAAAATAATTCAATCTCAGAAATATATTTATATTAAGGGGTGTCTACAAAAACGACTTTTACTAAAATGAAAATTATATTCTGAATTTTTACAGTAGGTACTTCAGTAAAATATATTTTATTGATCAATAACATTAAAGTATGTTCGAACCCATGCCTTCAAATCATTATAGGCACTCACTCTTAAACTAAGTAAATAATCATCCTGGGGCAAAGGTATTATTTTAAACATTTCATCATTTAAAATTAAATGTTTAACTATGATGTCATGCTGAATTCAATTATAAATTAAATATTAGTAAGAATTGTAAATTAATTGAAAATCTACTCACATTATAAGGACACGTATGATTTATATTTGAATCTTTAGCCAATAGTCTGACTAGAATACTTATAACCGGAAACCGTTTGACATTCTTCATCAGTTGACAAAAATCTACAGAAATATTGTACAAGAAAGGACGATATCCATTGGCTTTCTTCAGTAATTGCAAATGCAGCTTAAGTAATGAAACACAACAGTTTAGTAACAATTTCATATTAACTAGCTAATTTTTTTTTTACTTACGGTAACATTATTCACCGGAATTTTGTGCAACTGAACATGCAAGTCAAAGGCCACAACATCACGTTGTACTATTTTCAATTTACAAATTGGTATTGTGGCAAAAGGTTTATCGTATTCGGTACATTTAAGATTTGTAAATCGAAATGTTTGTTGAGTCAAATAGACTAGATTTAAGAAACAGAAAATGTATTTGAATAAATGCATATTGCTTGTTAGAGGACTTAGAGGTTTCTAAATAAAAAATTTTATTAACAGGTTTTTAAAATTTAATAATAATGAATTAATCGAAAAACTTAAAGTGCAAAATATTAAGCGCTTGATTTAATTTCATTATTATTGTTATTTATTTGGATTTTTTATTCGAAATTGTCAATTATATAAATTAATCAAACAACAGAGCGCAAATAGCTCTGCAATAGTCCGAAATGCAAAAGGTCATTGCAATGCAATAACATATTAAACAAAAACATCATGTATTTATATTGCATATCGTGAATAGAATGTATTCTTCATGTTCATTTCCTAATTATCTCAGAAATTCTTTAAGTCTAGTTCTAAATAACGGCATTTTAAAGCGATCAACATCAAAATATTGATATATGTAATATTTTCGAAACTCGAATCGCTACAAACTAGCTTTTTAACCCAAACGAATATCTATAGATCTGAATAAAATGAGAAATATACATCATACAATGGTATCGAAGAAAGAAAATAAATCTGTAACTTCTTATCGGCTAGTTCGATTATAATGAATATGAACCTAATGGGCTATTCGGGAGCGCGGCCTTATTTCACGGTGATACTATTACAACCACAGTGCGAGCTTGTTTGACGAATTACCATCACCCCTTAGTGCTTCTTACATGCCGGTACTTGGTTCTGACGATCATGTACAAGCACTTTGCTCAAGTACTCGAGCTATCTAATCTCTGAACATTGCTCTCCGTTGCATAACTTTCGAGATGCAAAAATGTCACTTCCGTTTACAACCACACAGATGAGATGCTCTTCGTTTATTCAGCAATAGCACCTAGAGACGTAATCGGTAGAACGAAATACGAATCCATCAAATAAGCCAAAGAACACATTGTGGTACGTTTGCTATGAACAGAGTAAACCCCTAACACACCCTGACAAGGAATGAAAATTCAATGGTATCACCTATATAAGATACCTTACTTCTATTACCATTCATCTTAGCACACTTATTATTTATCCGACACATTAATTGAGAAAAACATCTAACATATCACTTTAGATATACGGACGGGTGAGGCCCGTTTACCTCTACATCCATCCCATATCATATATACTTGAAACCAACTTATTTGCAACGCTTTGTCTCACAGTCACATCTCTACAGCGTGGTATCTGTTTTCGCGGCAACAGCACCAAACTTATAACGAATTACACCCTGCACCGTCTTTTAACAAACCACGTACTCCTCAAAGTTACCTCTTAAATAACCGGGACAAAACAAAGTCCGAAACTATGCCCTGAATGGTAACCGGTTCCACTGGTACCTTTGAATTTAGTGATAATATATGTGCCCAATATTTTTGGTTTTTCTAAAGGACTAAAGGACGATCCGGTAAGCATGGATAAACTCTTCTTCAAAAGTCCAAAAAGTTATATTAAGACCATTAAATAGAGGTTCAAATAGAGGTTCCATATAATCAGGATCATTGCGAATACATATCATTGACACAAAAAACTTAGGGAAAAAACCGGTAGAAAAGTACCAAAATTGATACAATCCGTTGTCAACACATCTTTATCATTACAATAACGCATTGCTGTCATTTCGATTACGCTTTGTGTCATTTCAATAATGTTTCGTTGTGATTTCGTGATTTTAATTCTTACAAAACTTGAAACTACACTCTGTGTTAAAAGTGGAACTTATGTATATGGGAATTGGGGTCAACTGTGATCCGTGCAATATTGCATCAAGATTGTCACATAATTAATATATTTGTGATTCTAATTTATATGGGGCTATGTGAAATTACAAATATTTTCCATTTTCCTAATACCTAACAAATCTTATCTCCAGGTCCTCATGCTTAGGATCTTTCCAGCTTTCAATTTTTAATAATATATTGTTGCAAATAAGATAGATATGCATTAGTAATTTGGACATATTAAATAAGAATCTTGATTTATTATATGATATGATTAATATATTTAATCAAGTGCAAGCTCAAGAATTGATTGCTGGAGCTAGGCGATTTTCGTAAGTAGTCCTTATATTAACCAATACGAACAAAATCTTGAAGGATAATTTCTGATTTAAAAATGTTAATTTTGCTTTATGTATATAATGATCTATGTGGTTGCTAACTGAAGTAATAGTTTTTACACATGCCAAATTTCATTGATTTTTTTCTAAATTTTGTCCTTTTTATAATTTTTTTTTTACTCCAGTTTTAGAAAGTAAACTTTAATGCACGCCTTCCAATCATTGTAAGCGCCCACTTTTATATTAAGAAAATAATCACCTTGGGGCAGAGGTAACAGTTGAAACATTTCATCTTTTATAACTAAATTCTTCACTATGATGTCATGCTAAAATATTAGCCAAAAGAATAGATTTATAAAATTTAAAAAAGTAAAAAAATAAAAATTACTTACATCATAAGGACAGGTATGATTGATATTAGAAGAATTGCCCAACATTAACATGAAAATATTTAAAAATGGAAATCTTTTGCCATTTTTCATGAGTTGACAAAAATTCGCTGAGCCATTGTACAGGAAGGGTCGATAACCACTAAATTTCTTTAATAATTCGACATGTATCTAAAGAGTTTGGTAAATTATTTATACATATAACAACTGAAGATATATATTTAACATTTACCGATACATTATTTACCGGAACTTGATGTAATTTTACATGTAGATCCATGGCAACAACACCGCGTGCCACTAGTTTCAATTTACAAATTGGTATTGTGGCAAATGGTTTATCATATTCCAAACATTTAAAATTAGTAAATTTATAATAACCACAAGTAAAAATTATTAAATTTATCAATATAAAGCAGGATTTCATTAAGTCCATGTTGTCGTTTGGATGGTAATATCAAGTATAATATTTTTTACTAATGATTTTTTTCTATTTGAAACTAAGTAAGCATGACTATAGCTAGTTATGATAATGCATATCAAAATGATAAATCAAATTAACAATTTGAAAATTGATTAAGCAAAAAAAGTTGATGAGAAATTATATGAAAGTGTATATTTGGACTTTATTAGAAAAAACAAATTATTTAAAATTCCAAAAAGAAAAACATTTATGAAGATGTTTGCGAAAATTCGAGAACATTTAAATACCATTATCCATACACTTTGAGATAAACTTTAACACATGCCTTCCAATCATTATAGGCCCCCACTCGGATGTTAAGTAGATAATCACCATTTGGCAAAGGCATAACTGCAAACATATCATCCCTCAAGACTAAACGTCTGACTATGATGTCGTGCTATATATAGAGCAAATTAGAAAAAAACACTTCTTTTTTTTCAAACCTAAAATATAATTAAAATATACTCACATCATAAGGACACGTATGATTAATATTGGAATCTTTAGCCAGCAGCAAGATGAAAATATTTAAGAACGGAAATTTCTTACCATTTCTCATCAGTTGACAAAAATCCGCCGAAACATTATACAAAAAAGGCCGATAACCATTAGCTTTCTTTAATAATTCCGCATTAACCTAAAGCGACCCATAACGATCTACATATATTAATGATTCTAAAATCCTATAACATTATGTCACTTACCGAGACATTGTTTACCGGAACTTGATGCAATTTGACATGCAAGTCAAAGGCTACGACACCGCGTTGCACAATTTTCAATTTACAAATTGGTATAGTGGCAAATGGTTTGTCATATTCTAAACATTTAACATTTGTAAATTTGTAGTGTCCGTATGTAAAAACTATAAAACTATATAAAACTAAAAATGATTTTATTAAATTCATGCTGTCTATTTTCGAACAAAATTGTTAGAACTAAATGGTTGTTTCCAAAAAAAAAAAAATCAAAATAAATTGTACAAATAATTATATGACTGAAATCATGGATAATGACTAATAATTTTATTATAGTTAGAAATACATGAATCAACATAATAATACGCATCAACTGATTTGTGGAAATTTCCAAAAAAAAAATGACTTTTCTTAGTCGTCTTTTATTATTTAAAAATTATGCTACCAGAAAGCGAAAGATATTTAACATAATTATAAACTAAAATCTTCTAAATCGGCCCCAATCCGTTGTAGGGGGGCTAAAGTAGATATTGGGCCAATTTCAACCAGTTTTATTATTGTCAAAATAATCATTGCGGCATTTTTTTTTGTTTGTTTTCTGTTCACAGACGGATGGACATGGACCATTATTTCTGTTCTTTACAAATATCAAAATATATCCCTCAAACTATAGTTGAGCCTATATATGTACAGATATATATGAATAAAATTAATTTGTGTTTATTTTATGTTAGTGGTTGTGAATTTTAATAGGAGCAGAATACCGACAAGGAATGATTGGGCCGCGAACACTGTACTAAGGGACGACGCGATTTCAATCTACACTGATGGTTTAAAGATAGAAAAAGTCATGGGCTCGGAAATTTGCTCCGATAAACTGGACCTTCTGTTGTCTCTTCGACTACCCGTTACCTGCACGGTCTTTCAGGCAGAGATAAATGTCATCGATTCAGCCGCGAGAAGAAGCCGGGAACTGAGTCTCGAAAATTCGACGTTAAAATTCAACGTTATTAAGTCGCAACCTCTTCTCAGTTATATATACAACTCACACAATATCACGTTCAGTTAATATGGGACCCAGGAAATCAGGGCATCCGGGGAAATGTAATATCTGATGAATGCGCAACCTTAACTCTTGCGCAAAGGGATATTTACACTCCCCTGGTGACCTTATCCAAATTGGGCTTTGAGACCACTCAGGTGGTCATTTATCCACACTTGTAGAATATCCAGACTAGGTCTCTCTTGTCCTTTAGTAAGAACTCGATTAGACTTCTGACGGATATAATTATTGATTCTGTATGGTTGGACACATGTCGGAACGTATGGACAAGCCATGTTATAGCTATTGTAGAAATTGTTTGGATGAGGAAGAGGAGGATGCCGGTACAACACCTACTAAGTGATTGCACAGACTACTATTTCTTGGTAGAGCTCTTTTCCATGATCTGGACTGTCTCAGAGATGTGTCACTAGTAAATGTGATCAGATTTAATAGAAGTACCGGCTGATTCTTAAGGGGTCCACTGGAATCACATAGTCAACGAAATTAGGGAAGGAAATCATTCTCCCTTATGTATGAACTCTCATTATAAGGGAGTGGGAATTCTAAGGATTACAAGGCTTCGGCGTTTACTCGTTGACTTGCGAGCAACTCACGTAACCTAACCAAGTGGGTGTGTTGGAAGTTTATGGACGCCTTAACATCTGGAGGAAATTAACCATACTACCTATACAAATTTGTATATATGAGACACAATTAGAGCTAGAATCCTTGAATTTTGTGACATTCTAATTCATATGAAATTTACATGTCCCATTAGGACCTTTCTGAAGCCCGTAAATTACATAATGTCAACCGTCACTCCATAGACAACAAGGGAGAGTCGATACACTACAACATACCTTTTCGCTTAAGTTCTTTCCGGGGGGAGTTTTCTCGTTTTTTTTTTACTCGGGATAGTTTCCCCGTTTTGTTTTACTAAGGGGAGTTTTCCCGTTTTTTCCTACCGAGCGCGTCCGCGGGAGGTGGTGATGATGGACCATCTGTTCTTTCCCAGCTTTAGTTTCACTTACTCTTAGAGGAGGCCAGATTGTCTACCACCTGGGAATATTATATTCCCTGCGGATGAAAAAACTGGATAAAACAAACATGGAAAATAAAAAGATATAAGTAACGGTGCAGGGCCTAAATAGCCCAGTACCGGCGGCAAGTGTTGATCTACTCGCAAAAGACAACTACAGAGGTGGGTACCTCCGTGGCGGACAATGCGTCAAGTGTACAGCATGCCATTGACAAAAACATAGGGGTGAAAGAGAAGGATGTACTCGAAGAGAGCTCTAAGCTACCTAAGCCTTTAAATATAGGTGAGGGCTCCGACTCTGAATCCTCTGATGATAATAACAACACCATGAATGCTCCGACTCTTAATCCTCGGATGATAATAACAACACCATAGCAAATCCCAAAAAGGATGGACTAAAGCAAATGGTGAAAGAGGTGAGTGATAGTATAGCTAAACTACCTATTACTAAGAAAAGACTTTCTGGAGCACAGAGGAGCAAGTTGAATAAGATGCTTCAGAAAATTATAGGTAGTTAATCCCACGACACTCCAAAGGAAAAAGTCGGATTCTCGAATCGAATTCTAATATTGTTAAAATATTATTCACTTACGCCAAATAAATAAATTAATTAGATATTTCGACATAAACTAAATAAGTAATTTTCAAGTAAATAATATAAAAATTATTTGTTTAAACCATGACAGCAGCACTTTGAAAATTATCTACATAGCGTAATACTATAGTATACAAAGCGCATCTATTCAATCTTTTCGCTTCAGAAATTTTAGTCTGTTTGTAATTGGTGCGTAAATTTTAAAATAATAATTGCTTCCAAAATATTTCTAAATGAAACATCAACTAAATAAAGTTCAGAATTGAATCACTGTTTAGCTTTTATTTCTATTTAGAAAACGGTAAAATAAATTTTAATACAGGCTTTCCACTCGTTATAGGCACCCACTCGTACATTTAGCAAGAAATCACCATCGCTTAAGGGGAAACGTTCAAACATTTCTTTTTTCAAAGCCATATTACGCATAATAATATCATGCTAAAAAAAATCGATTTAAACAATTTAATCGAAAAGATTTTGCAAGCGTCAGATAATACTCACATTATAAGGACATGTATGATTAACATTTGAATTGTAGGCCAATGTTTGAACAATCATCTTAATGATATGGAAACGTTTGCTATTTTTCAAAACTTTGCAAAAATCCACCGAGACATTGTACAAATAGGGACGATAAATGTTAAGAGATTTCCGCATAAATTCCAAATTGATCTTAAAGTTATAAATCCAAATTTAATTATTTGTATGGGGTTAAGGAATTAACAGTTATTTGTGTCTCTGATCATAATCGAAAAGTTCCATAGTCTATTAAGAATCTTAATTTATCTACAAACAAGATTTCGACTTAGGCTGTCATAGCTTATGATCATAGATTATTTTAAACTTACCGAGACACTGGTCACCGGTATTTTATGCAATCGGGTGTGAATATCTATAGTGTACTGACCAGCATTTTGCACATATTTTAATTCACAAGTCTGCATGGTGGCAAAGGGTCTATCAAATTCTACACATTCCATATGGGTAAAATTTATAGAACCCTTTATAAACGGCAACAAGTGGTAAAAAATTAAAATAAACTTCAGCAATGTCACACAGTGGTATAGGAAAAAAAAAAGAGGGAAATAATTCGGTAACTTCTAAACGGTTAATCCGATTTTAATGAAATTTGGTATGCACAAAGAGGAGGTGTTGTCGAGTTTAGGTTTTGAATTTGGACCTTATAGGCCAACCAGGGGCCCGGCGGGGGGTCCTCAAATTAGGACACCTCGGCTATGTTAAATTTTTAAAACGATCCTATTTCTTCATTTGAGTTCCGATTTAAAAAAAATTTCGTATATAGAATCTCCTCATCGAGCACTATAAAAAATGTCGTCGTAGCAGTAAATTATCTCTTATAGTTTAGGAGATATTCGCATTTGAATATTAAAATTTTAAAATTTTTACCGTCCTTACTTTAGTTTTTTTGATAATAGCAGGTCCAAATATTTCCGATTTTCGCCATTTTTTTTTATTTGCTTAACAACAAGTTTATATACCAAGCAGTGAAAGAATTATGTAAAAATCATGACTGAGTCCAAAGTTATAGGCATTTAAATTTAAAAAATTAAAAAAAGGCGATTTTTTGTCATTTTTTTGGGAAAAAAGTATCTTTTTCTTTTTAAGTTATCTAAAAAGTTTCTAAGAAGATGTATATAGAATTTATACTTTTTGGAAAGCTGACTTTACATAAAATACGATAAATGAAACAAAACCTAAAAATTTTTGATACCGAGGGGACCAGGTCCATCCAAAAAAAACCTATTTTTTATGGAAAATTAAATTTTGAGCAAAAATTTTCAAATCGCATAGTCGATATCAAATTATAGTGACCTGTTTTATATGACCCAATAAGTTCTTAATCATTTTGTAACGGGTTTCGATAACCCCGCCCCTGGTATGGATATAATAGGCAAAAAACCAAAAAATCCCATTTTTGGGATTTTTTAAAACTTTTTTGGGAATTCCGGGATTTCTAATAAGAAAATTCGAAATTTTTATTTAATTTTGGATTTTGAGTAAAAAAATCTACCTAACTGTAAAATTTCATCAAAAAATATTCATAAATAAAATTTTTATTGCAATTTGAAAAATTTGTATCTTCGCAAAAACTGAATAAAAAACATTTTTTAATTTTTTTTAAAAAAAGTATTCCGCGAATTTTTTAATTTTCAAAAATTATATACAGTTTTGAAAAATAGACAAAATTACCTTTCCATTGATATATAACATGCCTACCTAATGTTTTTTAAGTGACAAATTAATTAGGGAAAACTCAACATCTTTTAGAAAATTTACCTAGCACTATTATTTTCATCCATATATGTAACAAATTTAAGAGTTAACCTTATGGATGAAAATAATAGTGCTAGGCAAATTTTCTAAAAGATGTTGAGTTTTCCCTAATTAATTTGTCACTTAAAAAACATTAGGTAGGCATGTTATATATCAATGGAAAGGTAATTTTGTCTATTTTTCAAAACTGTATATAATTTTTGAAAATTAAAAAATTCGCGGAATACTTTTTTTAAAAAAAATTAAAAAATGTTTTTTATTCAGTTTTTGCGAAGATACAAATTTTTCAAATTGCAATAAAAATTTTATTTATGAATATTTTTTGATGAAATTTTACAGTTAGGTAGATTTTTTTACTCAAAATCCAAAATTAAATAAAAATTTCGAATTTTCTTATTAGAAATCCCGGAATTCCCAAAAAAGTTTTAAAAAATCCCAAAAATGGGATTTTTTGGTTTTTTGCCTATTATATCCATACCAGGGGCGGGGTTATCGAAACCCGTTACAAAATGATTAAGAACTTATTGGGTCATATAAAACAGGTCACTATAATTTGATATCGACTATGCGATTTGAGAATTTTTGCTCAAAATTTAATTTTCCATAAAAAATAGGGTTTTTTTGGATGGACCTGGTCCCCTCGGTATCAAAAATTTTTAGGTTTTGTTTCATTTATCGTATTTTATGTAAAGTCAGCTTTCCAAAAAGTATAAATTCTATATACATCTTCTTAGAAACTTTTTAGATAACTTAAAAAGAAAAAGATACTTTTTTCCCAAAAAAATGACAAAAAATCGCCTTTTTTTAATTTTTTAAATTTAAATGCCTATAACTTTGGACTCAGTCATGATTTTTACATAATTCTTTCACTGCTTGGTATATAAACTTGTTGTTAAGCAAATAAAAAAAAATGGCGAAAATCGGAAATATTTGGACCTGCTATTATCAAAAAAACTAAAGTAAGGACGGTAAAAATTTTAAAATTTTAATATTCAAATGCGAATATCTCCTAAACTATAAGAGATAATTTACTGCATAATTTACATTTTTTATAGTGCTCGATGAGGAGATTCTATATACGAAATTTTTTTTAAATCGGAACTCAAATGAAGAAATAGGATCGTTTTAAAAATTTAACATAGCCGAGGTGTCCTAATTTGAGGACCTCCCGCCGGGCCCCTGGTTGGCCTATAAGGTCCAAATTCAAAACCTAAACTCGACAACACCTCCTCTTTGTGCATACCAAATTTCATTAAAATCGGATTAACCGTTTAGAAGTTACCGAATTATTTCCCTCTTTTTTTTTCCTATACCACTGTGTGTCATCGTATTACTGACGCAAAAACTTTTCTCTTCTAAATATAAATTATTAGCCAAAGTTAGTCATAATTATTTAGACATTATTTTTAATAAAAAAATATTAGTACTTTATAGTGTATAAATTAGCAACAACAAATTTTTTTATAAAAAAAAAAAAATTGTGAATAAAATCTCAAAAAAAGTTTTTTACCTTTAAAATTATGAATACAATTCTTTAAATTTTAATTTTTGCAAATAACTATAACTAACCTCTATCTAATTCTAATACACTGGGAAAACTGAGTTAGAATTGAACTGAAAATTGATTTTTGTTTTACTAAAATTAAAAAAAGCCTATTCAAAAATAATTTATTAGATTTAATTGAATGTTTAAAAATACTTAATTATATATTGGTAGTTTGATTAATTGTTCAAATCCATTAAACATTTTGACAAATATTGGCATAATTATAGTACAGATGTTTACATTAAGTCATTATGAATGAATTATTTACCCGTGTTTATTTTCTGATATCTAGATAATACTATTTAAAAACTAACTATGCCACATCTTATATGAGTTAATTCTAAAACGTGGGCTGTATATGTTTAACAGCCTGTTTTTCTAAAACAATTTAGTTCTCACACGAACATTTCATTTTATTACGATCAAGTTTAAAATTAGGTTTTTATAAAACATTTGAAAGTTTTCGTTTAAAAATGTCTAAAATGAAATTAGCTTTTTCTATCGTAACAACACATTATTGCCTACGTATTTCATTTCTGAAATTTTAAATATTTTTTCATGTAGTAATAAGGTGTTTGGTGTTAACCCAAAAAAAATAAACAAAAATAAAATAATTTTACAAAAAAAATTGAAATTATAAAAAATGTTTTTTTGAAAACAACATGAAACTTATATGCAATGTCTCAAGAAATTTAAAGGTTTGTATTGCAAATTGTATTCAGGTTCAAGTGGCCACATATTATTTCGTATTTTGGTATAATTTTCGTTGTTTTATGGGCAAACGAAAGGCCTTTGCCTATCGTCTATTTCTGACTTTTCATTCGTTTATTGCGAACGAATTCATTTTCTAAAAACCAAAAATATATGGAAAAATAAAGCTCTTTCATTGCCACTCACATGAAAATATATTTTTTCGTTACAAAAACGTAAAGCCAATTTCGTTCGTTATTTTTAAGAACGAAGACAAATTTTCATTTTAGAAAAACTGGCTGTAAATCTCGGAAAAAAATTTAACGCAATGTTACTGAATATCCACAAGTCTTTCCTTTTGGGGTATCGGTTTAAAAATGTTATTTTGTACTTTTTTTGTACCTTTTGTACATGTTATTTTGAATCAACGAAACATACAGGGATTGTTCTAAATTGTACTATAGCTGCATAAAATCATCGGCCCTAGTCGAACTTAAAAAGTTAGCTATCTTATAATTATGTATTATGGTCTATAGTTATATTATATATTATAAAATATATTAGTCTATCATTATATTATTTAATCTATTCTTTTTTCTAATTTCAGGTAAGTAAAATATAATCGAAGCCCTTAAGAAATGCCATATCCAGATAATCCACAGGTTTGAACAATTTTGAAATACAAAACAAGTTAGAAAATATAATAAAACCTGATTATAAGATGCCCTACATAACCTATGTTATAATATCGATATACATATATTTATGAAAATGCATATATTTATAAAAATGCAGACACCGAATCTAAATCAAAGCGATTGAAACTTTTTTATATAGTTTCATATATCTAGAGCCTGCAGTAACTTCAAAAATATCAATAATAGACCTTTTAAACGTGTTCTTTGGTCGCGAAGATACTAATTCAATATAAAAACAAGTAAGAATGTTATATTCGGCTATGCCGAATCTTATATACCCACCATCAAACCTCGTTTGACTCGAATGAAACTTACTTATGTCGAATTTCATCTATTATTAATTAATTAAAGTAATTTTCTGAAGGGGACCATATATAGGGGGGAAGGGTCAATTACGGGTTGCTCCTCATAAAATTTGGTAGACAGAATTTGGTTCGTATTAAATTTATTTGTGTCGAATTTTATCGCTACACTCGTATTTTTAAACCATTAATGAGCGTTGCAGTCATTTTCTGAAGGGGACCTTATATGGGGGGTAGGGTCAATCATGGACCGATCCTCATATCATTTTTTAGATAGATTTTGACTCGTATGAAACTTACTTATGTCGAATTTCATCTATATACTAGTATTTTTAAGCCAGTAGTGAGCGTTAGTAATTTTCTGAAGGGAACCTTATATGGGGGGTAGGGTCAATTATGGACCCATCCTCATAAAATTTTGCATAGTGATTTTGGATCATAAGAAACTT